ACACCTTATTAATACACACATCTTTAAATGATATTCTTTCTTGTTCGTATTTTTGAAATTTACAATACTTATTCGGCATTATCTCGTTTATAGATTTGCAGTTTCACTAACATAAATAGTAGTAGACACATCAGGTGTCACATTCGCACTACCACGCACTACTACATACGCATCGGGTATTCACATACACACTACAAACACACACCGCCGCCATGCTTGGCGGTCTTCATGGCCGAACCGGAAAATGGGCGGGACACAGCTCTTTTGAGAAGTTAGCAATCTAGTATAGTATAGACATCTGTGATAAGACCTGACTATGAATACCAGCCTTTATCTCAGGGACGTCCGACAGACATTATCCTGGGATACTGCAATATCTTGGGGATATACAAGTCCACTGTTTTAGATGCTACAGATATCCTACGGATAACCTTTTTAGTAACTTTAGTTCCTTTCCAGAAACTTTCAATTTCCAAAAATTATCACTGAAAAAAATATCCGTAGGATATCTACAGGATCTAAAACAACGGACATTTGTATATCTTCAGAATATTATTGTAGGACGTCTTTAAGATAACGTATGTTGTATGGGTTACGACATTATTGGGGAATTTTTGCAATACCGTCACTTAGATATGGTAAACGTAAATCGTGAATGCCATTGGTTGCGTACATTGCGATGTTATTTCTGCGGCGCGATTCTTTAATTCGTTATTGGAGTTAACGACACTTTTATTATCATTGCGCAGCTCTTGTATACCGTAGAAAAGCTGCGCAACGATAACGAAAGTGTCGTTAACTCCAATAACGAGTTACAGAATCCAGGGGGAGGACTTTACTTTGGTGCCAGAAACAGGCCTGTATCTCTAACCGTTTAGGAGATATCGAAGGTTAAAGTCTTCCAAGCTTTCTCCGTTGATATCCCCGCTTCTACTGGGAGCAGAGAGTCGTCAATGTAGTCGAAAATGTAGGGTTTTGAGAGGACTTTATTTTGGTGCCAGAAACAGGCCTGTATCTCTAACCGTTTAGGAGATATCGAAGGTTAAAGTTTTCCAAGCTTTCTCCGTTGATATCTCCGCTTCTACTGGGAGTAGAGAGTCGCCATTTACGGCAAAATGTAGGGTTTTGAGAGGACTTTAATTTGGTGCCAGAACCAGGCCTGTGTCTCTAACCGTTTAGGAGATATCGAAGGTTTAAGTTTTCCAGCCTTTCTCCGTCGATATCCAGCCTTCCTCCGTCGATATCTCCGCTTCTACTGGGAATAGAGAGTCGTCCATGCAGTCGAAAATGTAGGGTTTTGAGAGGACTTTATTTTGGTGCCAGACCGAGGCCTGTATCTCTAACCGTTTAGGAGATATCGAAGGTTAAAATTTTCCAAGCTTTCTCCGTTGATATCTCCGCTTCTACTGGGAGTAGAAAGTCGTCAATGTAGTCGAAAATGTGGGGTTTTGAGAGGACTTTATTTTGGTGCCAGAAACAGGCCTGTATCTCTAACCGTTTAGTAGATATCGAAGGTTAAAGTTTTCCAACCTTTCTCCGTTGATATCTCCGCTTCTACTGGGAGTTGAGAGTCGTAATTTACGGGAAAATGTAGGGTTTTGAGAAGACTATATTTTGGTGCAAGGAACAGGCCTGTATCTCTAGCCGTTTAGAAGATATCGAAGGTTAAAGTTTTCCAATTTGTACCTTTGTTATCTCCGCTTTTACTGGGAATTGAGAGTGTAAATTTATGATAAGATTAGGGTAGGTATAGGACTATATTGTGGCAAGAGCGCGTTCCTGTATCTTGAACCGTTTAGGAGATTTAGTAAGTTAAAATGTTTAACTTGTGATGTTAATATCTCCGTCTCTACTGTGAATTGAAGTCGAGCTTTATGGTCAAAGTGGGGTTGATATTGAACTATATTGCAAAAGAGCATTCCTGTATCTTGAGACCTTTAGGAGATATCGAAGTTTAAATATGCTATCGATGAGGTTCGCTTATAACTTCCATTTATCTCAAGGGCGCTTCTCGGGAACATTCCGTTCGAAAGGTTAGTCCGCGATAAAAAGTTTCTTGCGATCTGAGGCCGCTGTTGTTTAAAGTTAAATTGCAGCAACAGTATTGTTATCAGTCAACCCTGAGACCGGCTGCTAACGTCCATTTGTGATGTCTGCCACGCCTTTGCGATTACCGATAAATTCAGTTTTCTTGATTGCTCGCGCGATTTCAAGTGGCCATAACATATGGCGAGAATACATGGCAATATATGGGAATAATATATGGTAATAATATACGGCAACAATATATGGCAACAATATATGGCAAGAATATGTGGCAACAATATATGGCAATAATATAGGACAATAATTCATGGAATATATTTTTCGTTACAAGAGTCAATGCAAATTTGCGGCATGCACAATGTAATAATAAAAGTAATAATAAAGTAATAATAAAAGTTCTTTCTGGGAGCTTTGAGTCAGATACTCACCAATGATGATATTGATGATGTCCTGTTGCATCCAATCAGATCCACCAATATCCGTCCATGTCCGCTGCCGCTCTCCATGTCGCGCAACATCCATCTTGCAGCTCGTCCCACGGTGATCGCTACACTTTCATCACACTTCCGCGACGCGGTCGATACGCGGTATTAGAACGGCGATATTTACATCAATTAACGAACGTTTTACTCGCCATCGGTGGAAACTTTTGCGCGCTGCGAAACGGACTCTATAAACTCGATCGGCGAGGAGTAAGAACCGTGTGAAAATTTATTGACTCGTCCAACGGATTTTTACGGTGCTTTTCGCGATTGCGTCTGAAAAGTCGCGAAATTGTGGCATTATCGATATCTACGAGTGAAATATTCGCGACGCGAATGCACGCGAGGAAAGATTAGACAATCAGAAACCGGTCCCCCTTAGGGAGCGCAAAGAGAGAGGAGCGGGGCAAAGTTTTCACGCATTATAGCTCTGTCACGACGAAGCTTATGTTCGCGATACTTTGGCGAAATGAGAATTTAAGTTTTCTTTGTTAGCAACGCGAGTAAAAACGCGTATATTGACAACCGCGGTCGCGATATTCAAAGGTACGCGAGCGAGGATACCTCAAGCTCGGCGTGCGCTGGCGCAATTTCTACGCGCATTATACGCTACTCGAGACAATAGGGATTGTGATGAATGGACAATATTGCCAAATAATTCTACAGCCTGTTTTGCAAATAAAAGAAAAGTAGCTAACGATATCGGTATTTAGGTATGAATATATTTTATACGGACAATTGAATATTGTCAAATAATTAAATCGTTAAGTAATTCTGCGGCCCGCTTGAAAAATAAAAATAAAGCAGCTGATGTCGGTGTCGCGTTTGTACATATGAATATTCTCTTATTCAGATGACTGAACATCAAAAGAGAATCATTCAGTATTTTAAATCTTGTATGTAATGCAGGCTATCGATCAAGTAATCCCCAATGAGATTATCCGCTGCGGACAATAACTCTTCTACTTTTCATTTAATATTCAATGATGATAAATAACATTTAATTGCATTCGTTTGGCTTTTTTTATTTCGAAAATAAGAAAATATATACCGGGGTGAGATTTTATCCATGACAACATTAACGTGATTTTCTTTGATGCTTTTTTTAAAAGTTCAAATATTTCGTCTACTTGCGGGATATTTATAATCGGAGTCTCGTCACGTTAATTACGTGAATAACACGTGCTCCTCCGAGCGGATCGAATGCTCACCGACGGCCACTGTCAGTGCCACGAGCGAATGTCCGGAGCGGACGGGATGCTGAATTAAAAAACAAAACGAAGTGAACGGGACGCGGACAACAATACATCATGCGTCTCCATACATGTCAAATTGTTTATTATACAGGAGACTTTGATACGGCAACATGTATTCAAAGATTTAATATTTAATACGTACTTTTATTTTTCCTGCTTCTCCCCCCTCTCTCCCGCTCTTTTTAGACCACTGGACATAGTCTGGCATAGAGATGGCAACTGTCATTGCAGCACGGACATAAACCGCCTGAAAGTGAATGTAGCATGGACTTCCACCATATGCAGATTTTACCACCGAGACCTGAAAGTGGATGTACTATCGTAGTTCCCCTCTCAAAATGGATGCAGATGGCGTCCTTTCCCAGTGCGGAAAGTCGGTGTCGCAGAAAATGTCATATTGGCCGCTCTCAGGTTACTCTCTAATAATACATGACCCTGAAAAGTATGTACCGTCCTGGTGTCCGACATTCACGTCTGATTGGTTGAAGCAAAACACATTTCTTCTAATTGGATGGGCCATATTGCTTATATACCCCCTCTCCTTGTGGACTCCAATTTAATTAATAAGCCAATGTTTCAATTAGCTCGAGTGAATGTTTCTCTGATTATCGAGCGTATCAGACTCATTCTCTAATTTCGAATGACAGTATTCACTCAACAATTCAGAGTGGAGAATTCATTCTATAAGCATGGAAAATAACTCAAATTCGAGTAACTCTGCTACTTTAAATGAAATTTCACTTCAAGAAATTTAGAGAGTGAATCTTATACCTAAAAGTACTGTAATAAAGTAATAATTATTATGCAAATTGTGTAGTTAATCAGTGTCATTTCTTGCCTTTAATCCAGCATGGTCGTGATGGCTATTCAAAACCATAAATGTATCCTTTATATGTATAAAATTTGTGTATCTTTTCTTAAAATAAAATTCTTTGGGTTGTTTATCACACACATATTTGACTTAAGTTCATAAAAACGCGCTAGTAAATTACAAATCCTTAAATCACAAGGAAAACAGAATCTCTCTGTAAATACATTTATACCAAGTCTTATTACTACTAATATATAAAAGATACCACAATCTTATAATTACTACCACTATAGGATTAATATAAAATTATTAATTGTATAATATGAATAGTATATCAGTATTTATATATCAATATTTAATTATATATATAGTATTAATATATAAATTAATACAATATTATTCTATAATGACAAGTATCTGTGCACATACATATCACTACATTTTTAACTTATCAATAATGATCATTATTGCAAAACTGTTATAAATTCGTGATGAGCTCAAAGAATCAGCTTTCAAATATATTTACATTTGGTGCAGTCGTGTAAGCTATTGTTATACCTATGAAACCTATGACAACTGTTAAAATCCACACGATTTTACGCTTGTATCCTGCGTTCTCTTGCGACTGCTTCAAATTGTCATACTTATCCTTCCTCTTTCGTCGTGGTTTGAACTTCTTCTCGAATTTCTCGATCTCTTCACGATTACGCAGTTCTTCCGCCTCTCGCTTTTTCGCCATCATAGCCTCTTGCGCTTGGTTCCTCTCATTCCTCAACGATTCGCACACATCGTCACAGTCTACAATAATCTGCCGCTTTTGAATAAACGAACAAACAAAGTCCTTCTTGATTCGCTTGCATTTACACCACAGTCTGATTTTCTTATTGCATTCTTCCCCATTCTTGCACGTTCCAGGATGACAATCGTTGATGCAACGATGGCCACATGGGTACTAGAAAAAGAGAAAGATAATATTTTTTTTATGAAGAGACAGAACTCGCATACTTCTGGGAGCAATACAAGAATAGTTACGTTTTTCGGACATTGGTTGCCACATCGTAATAATTCGTCGCGTTTCTCGCCACTTGCAGACGTCAAGTCGACACAGTGTCTATACAAAGTACTAATGCCGCAATGACAAGAAATCCGCACTAGTTGCTTACACGGTTTGCACGGCACCGGGTGACAAGGTTGCGGACACACGTGTGTACAACCTTCCGGACGCGGGAAGAGGCACTCGTTCTCGCACTCCATACACGGAGTACCATTACTACTCGTGTCGTTCGCCTCGTTAATGGTCCCTATTTTATGGCATGTTAATTCACAGACATGATTTGTGCATGGCAATGGTTGGCCGCAGACTCTGCCGCAGGAACTCGGTCTCGACATATGACATGGCCAAGGGCGCGTCTCATGACCGCCCAAACAAGTCACAGGCACGGAGACTTCGCACGGTGGACACGGTAGGGTCTTCAGCTGCATAACATCCTTTTGTTGTTTCTCCCAGGGACCAATGGGTTGTGACTTCACTCCGTTCACCTTCACCCAGACTTTAGTGTGGCAAGTGGTTGGACAGCTGTGGCCGCATCTCTTGTACGTTAGACCGCAAACTTTCTTGCATGGCGGACATGGGCCTTGGTGGCATTTATGCGTCTCTCGTTTACTGTGGTGACAGGTTGGTGGTATCTTGCAAGACTTGTTGCACGGTGGCGGTCGGATTCTCTTTCTGGTGCCACACGGCACTGTGATCTTGCTGCTGCCGCATCTACATTGTATGACATCCATTCTGTTGCATGGGTAACAAGGGCCGCTATGGCAAGGTGCGGCGCATTTGTGCTTGCGGCAATTGAGAGTCTCGCCGCACGTTTTTTCGCAGAGATTAGACACGTTTTTCGAGATGCAGTCGCAACATTTTTTGTTGCACAGGTGTCGACCACATAAGCGCATCTGTGTGCACTTTTTGTTGCAATGAAACTCCTTTACGCAAGCGATCTCTTTCGTATAAGTGCCACATCGGCACGTCTTTGTTACCACTTCTAGGCATTGGCCGCAGCGATCCATGTGGCATCTCATATTACAGTAGTGCGAGCCACAGTCCAGTAACTTATCGCAAGTGTCTCCGCACGTCGGTACTTGCTGCTGCCTACATGAAACCTCATATCGTTTCTTTCCACATGGACAGCATCTGTTCTTCTCCATGGGGCAATTACTGCAATCGCCCGGCAAGTGGCAAGTGCTCTCGCAAGTATGTACATTGCAGGAAAATTTCCTGTTGCATGGTTGCTCACAGATCCATACATCTTCGTAACATTTTCCTTCTTTCTGGTTATTTTTGCAACGGCATTTCAGCAACACTGTTTCCATACATGGTGGACACTCTCCAGCATGGCATAAATTGCTGCAACTGTGCGTACACGATTCGTATTTCTTGTTACATATATTCCCACAACACCAGTTTTTGGCGTTGCAGCGACGTGGCTGTGCCGGAAATTTACCACAGTAACATTTTACTGTCACCATCTTGGCACATGGTGGACACGGACCAGGATGACAGAGCAATACACATTTGTGGCCACATTCTGGTTGAAGGAGTTTGCCACAAGTCTCGCCACAGGAATGTGGAATCACCCATGGCTGATATGGAGGATCTATGGTTTTTCCACAGAAACATTCATATGTTCTTGGGATTTGATTCTGTCCATATTCCATACGACATTTAGGGCTATAAACATAATGTTTTGTTAATACATGAAATATAAATTTTTATACAAACAGAAGGAAGACTATATTAAAATAATTTAAGATAAATACCATGCCCAAATTGGAGTAATTCCTTTAGCCCGTTTGTAACTCAAACTGTCATTTATCCAATGTAGGATGCAAGACAAATGGAGAAACGCATAGCATTTTTTGCAGTTCCATATCTAAGTGATACATATATACATACACATATGTATATATATATATATATATATATATATATGAAAGAACAAATAATATTATTGACAAACTATGACTGTTTATATAGTATATAAAGATATATTTAGAGACATTGATCAAGAAAATGGGAAGTTTTTGCAATACCGTCTTTCAGATACGGTAAACATAAATCGTGAATGTTATTCGCTCAGAAATAACGTCACAATGTACGCGACCAATAGCATTCACGATTTATGTTTACTATATCTGAGTGACAATATTGCAAAAACTTCCCAATAAAGGAAATAAAGAAAATAAGTTATATCTAAAGCAATTTAAAAATTTATATTAAGAAATTTAATCTTTATATAGACATATCTATAGATAGATTATATTTAACAATGAAATATACTTATATTTTTGACAAAATATTAACAAAATATTATATTTTACTGTATAAACTTACCTGATCTATTTTTTTTACAGTTGATATACATATTAAGCAAACTGCACTGCTAGATTGAAAAGAATTAACCAAATATGATATCACTTTTTCTGCATCTATCCCTTGTCCTTGATATGCAGACAATATTTTGTCCACCACATTTTGAACATCTTCCTCGTTTGTTTCATCTTCTTCTTCACTTGATGAATTTAATGATGCATTAGCTTCCAAATGTTTCTCAATAGATAATTTATTTTGTGCTTGAGCTTTCTTGAATTTATGCATCTTGAAATTTTAAAATAATATATTATAAATCAATGATACAACCTATAAGCAGTCTAAGAACTCATTTTATACTCGCGGTTTATGTTACACAGATATTTATTTACTCAAATAATTTTCTTGCTTTTTACATTATATATTTTCATTGACATATCATATTTGTTATGCCTCTGATATAATGTTATTGAATTTTCAATTTATTTAAAAAATTGACATTTAATCAACAGTAGAAAACTATATGAAACAATGAATCATATATATACTACTTTGATTCACAATTAACAATTCTTTTTTTACCGGTTTGAAATTGGTAAAATGTAATTAATCATAATAATTATGATGCTCTTAGCAATTTTTTATTATACAACTATAAGCGATTCATTTCAAACTCGATCAAATAAAATGTCATCCTAAAAATGACCTATCTTGTTCCAACTAAAACAGTATTCATGTAAAGAATCGAATTATTGAACATTGAAACTTGATTAATAAAAATAATGTAAACTAAAATCAAACACAAGTGATCAATCAATTTTATGTTAAAATCATTTTTAAGATATAAACATCAATATATGAATGATTATCGCTAACCTTGTAAATTATCGCAATCTGTAATAATATCCATCAAAAAGAAGCTAAAGAATGGCCACAGCAACGATTTTCCGTTACCGCTTTTTTAAAGCGTCTCTATGTCCATTTCATGGACATAAACTACGTAGCCAGCGTTATTTTTGCCAGTTTTTGCAATGGGTAAGAGGTAGTATCCACAATTTTATGGTTCTGTTCAGTGATATGTCCATGAGTAGGTCGATTAGTTAGATAGAAGTTGGCTACTGTCTTATTCTTCTTACCTACTGAGGAAAATAACAGCATTGGCTACGTAGTTTATATCCATAAATAAACATAGAAACGCTTCAAAATGGTGTTACAGGAAAATCGCCTCCATGGCCACTCTCAGGCTACTCTTTGTACATACGCGTTCAACTGCAACAGTATGTATCAGTATGTATGCATGTAGTGTCGGTGCATGCAGGTGAGTTTCAAAATACGGTTCAGTGGTGTAGTGATCGGTGTCAACAGGCTCGCGTGGAACTTTTCTTGTTAACGTTTTCGACTGATAAGAATCTCCGAAATGTCAGATGGCGATGATGATTTCATGTGCGAGGAAGACGAGGATTACGGATTGGTAAGTTTTTCTTCCGGAGATTGCGCGAGTCTCATCTCTTTATATAATTTTTCGGCACATAGTAAGGTTAGGATTTCTGGAGTTACCCTATATAGCATTTAAAAATAGTTCGAGGGATAACTCAAAAGATTCTTACAATTAACAAAAAAATATTGTTCGAGATAGTTGGTTGTACTTTGCGCGAATATACTTGATTATTCTAATTGGATCACACTTAGTGACTTTATCTTTAATATTATAATATTAACAATTGCCGAGAGCAAATGATAATTTGGATCGAATTTTAATTATTGCCTGTTTTAGGAATATTCTGAAGATTCTAATTCTGAACCAGATGTAGATTTAGAAAATCAGTATTACAATAGTAAAGCTCTCAAAGAAGATGATCCAAAGGCTGCCCTACAAAGTTTCCAGAAAGTATTGGATCTGGAAGGTGGAGAAAAGGGTGAATGGGGCTTTAAAGCCTTGAAACAGATGATCAAAATTAATTTTAAACTGGTATATTAATAGATATTATTAAGAGCTGCATCTTTAATTATAAGATATACTTAAAGTATTGACAACGTATCCTTTTTAGTCCAATTATAAAGAAATGATGGCGAGGTACAAACAGTTGTTAACTTACATTAAAAGTGCAGTTACTAGAAATCACTCAGAAAAGTCAATAAATTCCATATTGGACTATATTAGTACATCAAAGAATGTAAGTATTATAGCAAGTCTCATATTGGCAAGTCGTCAAATATTTAATACTTTGATATATATTTAATATTTTTTTATGTCATATATATATATATATGTATTTAATATTATTTAATATTTACTTGAATTTTTTTCTCATTACCACTAAGCTTTTTCGTATAATCTCCATCTGAAATCTTCTTGAATATTTTTAAGAGTATAATGAATGCTTTTCTTTTTTAAGATGGAATTATTACAAGACTTTTATGAAACAACATTAGATGCATTAAAAGATGCAAAAAATGATAGGCTATGGTTTAAAACAAATACAAAGTTGGGAAAGTTATATTATGATCGTTCAGATTTCAATAAACTGGCAAAGATATTGAAACAACTTCACCAGAGTTGTCAAGTATGTATCATACATGTTTATTCCTTTGTTGTTGCACTAATCAAAGTACTATGTTATTCTTAAACGCATACTTTTAGACTGATGATGGAGAGGATGATCTGAAAAAAGGAACGCAGCTGCTGGAGATTTATGCCTTAGAAATACAGATGTATACAGCACAAAAGAATAACAAAAAGTTGAAAACGTTGTATGAGCAGAGTCTTCATATTAAAAGTGCTATACCACATCCCCTAATAATGGGTGTTATTAGAGGTATGAGAAGCGTGAACATTTCCTAGGAACAGTAAATTGCAAATAGAAATATTTTTGGTTTCTTCTTTCTTTGGCTTCTCATTTTGTCATCTTTTTTAATACGAATATGCTGTTTGGAAAAATTGAATGTAGCAAAACGTTTGTACATATCTTTTCCCAGAATGTGGAGGCAAAATGCATTTAAGAGAAGGCGAATTTGAAAGAGCCCATACCGACTTCTTCGAAGCCTTCAAAAATTACGATGAATCTGGGTCGCCGAGACGTACGACATGTTTGAAGTATCTAGTTTTAGCCAATATGTGAGCATAGCTATCTAATATTCATATAATGAAATTGCAATTATTAATGTTAATACACTTGATGTATATATGATTTGCGAAACTCGTAGGTTAATGAAGTCTGGTATTAACCCATTTGATTCACAAGAGGCTAAACCGTATAAAAACGATCCTGAAATTCTAGCAATGACAAATTTAGTTGTCAGTTATCAGAATAATGATATCAATCAATTCGAATTAATTCTAAAGCAAAATAGGAACAATATTATGGATGATCCTTTCATCAGAGAGCACATTGAAGATTTATTACGGAATATTCGTACACAGGTATATAGCTTTTAACGTCGCTTACACATCATATGTGATATTTCATACATATATATGAATCATACATATATCGCATACCGTAATTTTCATATCGTTTCAGGTTCTAATTAAGTTAATAAAACCATACACCAGAATTTACATCCCCTTTATAAGTAAGGAATTGAATATCGACGTTTCGGAAGTGGAGAGTCTTTTGGTATCTTGTATCTTGGACAGCACTATTCGTGGTCGTATAGATCAGGTAACGTTGCTATAATTCATTGATTAAAATTGCATTCTTGTGCAGGGTGATTCAAATAACTGGATTGGGCCACAGCTTTTCGTCTAGTGCAGATATAAAAAATGATAGAAATACTTGCAATCATATATACACAGCTATATGTTTTATATTTCTTGCAGGTGAATCAAGTTCTCGAATTGGATAAAAAATCAGTATGCGCCGCTCGTTACAATGCCCTCGATAAATGGACTAGCCAATTGCAGTCTTTGCATGTAGCCATCGTGAACAAAATGTCCTAAAACAATGTGGTGCACGTGATCTTGAATTAAATACTGAACTTACTTTGTATAGTATATCATAAAAGCCTGTCTCCGAATACGTGAAGAAATAAAAAGAAAAATCTATTGTGATAAAATAAATTTAAAATTTTAGCACGAGCTTCATTTTTATTTCCGTCGTGCGTATAAATAATATAAATTATCCATCAGGTCAGTCTCATATATCTACTACATTACTTTACATATAGTATACACACTATATACATACATATTAATATATAAGTGCCTTTCTATTTAAATTTTCCATTGATTCCATGCCGCAGTCATTCGTAAATTCGTGAATTCGATAGAATTAATGCACACGAATATCGATTAATTTCAGGGATATGTAAAATGCATCGTACACGTCTGTTCGGCCAAATAGACCGTGTCTGCTTCTCGGATAGAATTCCGACTGAATAACGAGCGCCGCGCATCGTCAGTGCATTAAAGGGTATTCCATGTGGGGCGCATAGTTCGGGCAATATCGACAATCGTTAGAACTTTTGGCATAGGAAGCTGCTGCCGTCATGAAATTATGGGAAACCGAGGGCTTAGTTCCGGCAGAGAGGAGGATACGGCTCGATTCAATCGTGACAATTTAACTGACGGCGGGAATGTAGACGTTGCAGAATCCTGAGAGGTGGATCGGATTGCCGTGGAGGAGATAGGGAGAGACGGGTATATGCGCGCGAGACGTTGTTCTACGTTTCTCTTATGCTCCGTCTGCCATACGGCTACGCGCTCGTTACCACTTCTCGCACGTTCGTACGCTTAAGTAAATCTCAGGGGAAACTAACAAACCTTGGACCAGACGCGCCATGTATATGTATCCTTGGCGGAATAATTCCACGCTTGATTATCGGTGACTCGATTGCGTAGCATTCCGTGTGATTTTCAGCCAAAGGATAAACGCGTAAAAGATCACGCGAGTGAAAAAAGCAGACCTTACGTAAAAAAATATACGGAGGATAAAGTACGAAAAATTAAAGGATACATCAAACAGATCGGTAAGGACGAATGATTCAACGGATCGTTAAGATTGATCGTACGTTGAGACTAATCGATGGAAAAAGCTCTGTTTTCCATGCTTAAATAATAATTACAAATACGAGTTACTGGGGCTGTATTCCGTACTCGCGTACCGATAGTTGTCGGTGTCGTTAGTAGTATTGCGCAGCTTTTTTGTTATGTGAAAAACCTGCGCATTGCCGCTAACGACACCGACAACTGTCGATATGCAGGTACGGGATACAGCTCCAGGAATAGCCGCCTAACATTATTCGATTATCGACTTCGCGACAATCGCTCGACAGGATGGCTATAAGGACGCTGATAGGATGATCCTTATTCGATCGGCCGCAACTAGTGGAACAATTTGCGTACCGCTAATTTCGTATCAAGATTTCGTTTCTATTTCGTTCCTTGTGTCGTGTGTTCGCTTTATTTTAGAATTGAAGCGTTTTTTACTGGAAAATATGTAACAATAATTTATACAATCCATTATTTGCGAGTTATTTTCAGTGAATGCCAAATCTGGGAAAACGAGAAGAATTACCGCGAGTCGAAGAGAGCAGTAGCGTAGAAAGCGTTTCGAAAAGACAAAGTTCCTATTTTAAGGATTCGATGAGAAATTTCGTAAGACAATTAATCTCGGTGGTTTCTTGTTTCCCCATCTTACGAGGACTTTATCCTCTCGAATGCACACAAATGTAAGCAAATCTCACTGCTCGTAAAGATACCGCTTATTACGCAAGCGTGAGAAGCGACGATGCCGAATAAATTAATAGTTCTCTCGTTGCGCTTCGAATTATAAGCCGCAAAACAGACCGCGCGTCCACCGCGTGCAAAAACAACAAAAAAGCGAGTAAAAAGGGCCGAAAGAATTGAAAAATGAGAGCAATCCGCGCGCTATTGTTGCCGCGCATTCGCTTTGACAGTTTGGACCGTCGCGCAAAATACCGGCTGGATTAATTCCATTTTGCGGAACTTGATCACAACGCGCGACACATCTAAATAAAAGGCGACGTCACGGGCGAACACGGGCATGAGCGGGTAGCGAAGGGCCAGAGAGTAGGTAGAGGAGGAGATCGGTCTGTAGCGCGAATATCGCGAGAGCAGCAGGATGGTTTTGCGAGGATGCATGAGCGCGAGTGGCATCGAGTCCAACCGGTGCGCTTCTTGCACGCACCATGTGCCGCTTAAACGACGGCACGAGCCGTTCGCTCGCAGCCGCCCCTTCCCCCTGTGAATATTTTTTTCTCCCCGACAACCCTCTCCACCAGTGTGTATATACACAAATACACACATACACACACGTATATACACACAGTCTGGCACTTACTTGGTCGCGCGAGCCGCGTAAATTGTTAATTACCGGGCATTAGCCTATTAAAGCTCGCGTTCGATTTAATTAGGTTGAGACTAATTTTATCGCTCCCTCTCGCCCTCCTTTCTTCCCTTCCTTCCGCCTCCTCCGTGTGTCTCTCTCTCTCTCTCTCTCTCTCTCTCTCTCTCTCTCTCTCTCTCTCTCTCTCTCTCTCTCTCTCTCACTCTCTCTCTCTCTCTCTCTCTCTCTCTCACTCTTTCTCTCATTAGCATGCCGCGGCCGTATGAGGTTGCCCTTTTTCACCGCGGCCGGACGACCACGTACATGCATATTACGCACGTGACGCGTGGAAGTGCGCCGCCGTATATCCGCTAAATTTATATCGCCACGGAACGTTAAATTTTATTATATCAGCCCGTACACATACCGACGGTCTCGTCGTCGGGCTCCTTTAATACGAAATTTTCCAACGCGCGACGAATCATTTTATGCTCTCGTTATGCGCTTCCTTAGGCTAATTCGAGGACGTTTCCTACCTACGCCTTCAAAAGCGAGATCTCTCATTGAAGACTCCTCTTCCTGTCGCTGGATCCTCAGTCACGAGAACTCGATCTATGAATTTTGGATTGTCAATTTTTGTTCTTACACAAAGCATAATTTGTGTTGCGCGTTAATAGTAGCTGATGACATCTTCAATTGAATATCTTACATACACATTCTCTCTTTTTCTCTCTTTCCGTCTCTATCTATACCCCGATTTATCCGAATTAACCTATGAATATTTTTCGTGTTTTTCAAAAGAGGCGAGCGCGAGCTCGAAACGCCGTTTATATTGGCATTTACATGCGGCTGTACACGCGAAACGTACGACCGTTCTGTTGTAATTAAGTGCCAATCTTGAAATGGATCCGTAATCAAGTATATTCATATAGGTTTCGCGGGCAATTGTCAACGTTCGCGAACTACCTGCCAAATTTGTTTACGCCAACCGCCAAAGTATTTACCGTCGCGGCGTTGGTTACTTTATCAAGCCTGACAGCGCGGCTTGCGTACAGCACAGACGATATATTCTGACAAATAATGACACCGGCGCAAGCCAAAAACAGGACTAAAACGTGCGTGAATAAATTATTAAATTTGCCCAAATTGACGCTTGTCGATTGAATAATAAATATCCGTTACTGTTACTGGCACCATCGACACGATAGCAATTATTCAAACGACTATGCGATACGTGGATAATTCGTTTATTGTCTGCATTAAAATTGAAACTTCTTTTTTTGACAGACGTGTAATAATTAGAAAGAGCAGCGTGTGTGTGTGTGTGTATGTGCATTCATTGGAATATATCAATATCAATAAAACGCATATTCCCGAACGAATGGAATCGTTGGCATAAATTTACGATTGCAATGAAAATTACAATTTTCCGAATATAAGTTGGAAATTGATCTTCTCCGAATATTCTGTACGCCGGTGAAACTCCAAGCCACGAGCGATCGGGAACGAAAAAGTCACAGTGATTTCAAATTCCGGTGAAGCAAAATCTTCAATCTGTCTTGCAAATTTGTCACTCTATAGATTTACGCAAAAATTCGAATACATTACAGACAGAAAAAATATCGATTAAAGAAAAATAACGATAACTTTTTCAATCAAGAGAGGAACCTTCGTCTTAATCGTTCGCGTTTTACCAAAAATTATATTATTTATAATTTTATCGCGCGTAGTAAAAATACATGCAGGTGTTATGAACTTTTGCTCACGTTTCTCTCACTCACTGTCCGAGGTAGGAGTGAAATTATCCATTCCTCGTGGACACGTTGCAAATCCTGCGTCTTAGCGCGAATACGTCCGCTTGGTGGAACGGCACAGCTGGCTTCGGCTCCGTTTCGAGCATTGTTATTCAGTCTACGTTTGCGACTATGTAAATGTTGGTTAACCCCACGCATGGGTGGTACATAGGGTCCCCAGGCTCGTCCTGTATCCTGGCTGCGCGACGGGAAGATATAATCCCACTGCCTACAAGTAGTTCCCTCCTTGCCCACGTCACGTTTAAGACGGTATCTCCCGAAGATCATGTTGCCTATCTTCTTCGAAAGCCCATTCGAGCGGTCGCTATAAATAACACACAGAGAACTGAGCTTAATCCACTGATACACACATCTATGGTTCGGCAGACCCCTCTCTATGTAGACTTTACAATTACACACACACATATACACATATACATACATTCCTCGCGAACGACAATAATTATTTCTTTCGTAAAAACTTTATGAAATATAATGAAGCTATCGCGGATTATTACGCTTTTTTATTCGCCTACAAATTTATGAATTTTTATTCCTTTCTTTTTATATAATTAGTAGACGCGCACTTTTGCCTTAAGCTTGGAAGCTTTTCGCTGAGATGGAGAGAGGAAGATATATATATATATATATATATAGAGAGAGAAGAGAGAGAGAGAGAGAGAGAGAGAGAGAGAAAGAGAAAGGCAGAGAGAATGACATCGGCGGCGAATGTTGATGCGATGCCGGTAAAAACATTCTCGGACGAAAAGAGCGAGTTTAAGAGCGAATAAACGTAAATGGTACAGTTGCACGTACTAATTAATTAACTAAAATGTAGACAAACTACATTGAATGTACGTCAAAAGGGTAGCACGAAGTGATGTAAAACAAAGCCGCCGCGACTGTCCGTAGCAGTGGCGGAAAGAATTAAAAGAAAAAAAGAAGAAAAGGAGAAGAAGAGAAAAAAGGCAAGGAGTGGCGAGATAAACCGTAACTGCGAAGTAGCCTCGGGAAATTTTGCATAATGGCAAGATCACGGAGGGAGGTACGTCGGTCGTCAGAGAGTCCGGTAAAGTCGAGCGAGAAAAAATCAAGGATGTACTTAAACGAAGCTCCTCTCGTCTCGCTGCCCGTCGTCCTGCTGCAGCTGCAGCTGCAGTTGCACCAAACTCCAGTGTATGTGCGAGGGGCACATCGCGGCCGCTTCGTTCAGCGCAGTCGCGGGAGTTAATTTAAGAGCGAACTCCATTTTCCGTGTCCCCACTGTTGAAGCGTAGTCCTAACTTGGTGGAAAGTGGCATGGGCTAAAAAATGAAATCTCGCGCTCCAAAGTTTCAAACCCTCTTTGGTGGTCCGGTAGCTGTACGCTAAGAAGAAAGACAGAGAGACAGAGAGAGGAGAGAGAGAGAGAGAGATTGGAAGGCAGAAGAAGCTCCTCTTTTCGCCGTAGCCGAGATTTTCGCAGTCTTGGCGTGCTATTGCGCGACAAACATTCTAATTCCGTGAAATTGAAGATCTCTCTCGAATGAAGTAGTCTCATTGTATACGAACTGAGAAAATGATGATAATCAATTACGCGCAAATAACGGAGAGCTGAAATGCACGACAGCGAGATAAAAGATTTTTTATGCAACCGCACGTATTTATCCATTTCATTGTTCGATATAAAACATGAATCTATAATATTGATTTTTCAAAATAATATATACAATTATAAACTATTGTACATTGTAGTTATAACTCAATACATAAAACTTCAATATACTGTGTTAAAATGTAAATTTTAGTTGTATGTAAATGCTATTGTATGTAAATATATGTAACTCAGAATTTAAAATTTTTACGATGTGACGTAGCATAAACACGTGAAGATTTAACGCAAAACGAAATAAATATCCCACCATTTTATTCGCTCTGTTTAGTTAACGAAGTAGTCATCAGTTTCGTATCAGTCGTGTCCATTATCGCATCGATATAAATTCAAGAGAAAGAGAAAGGGGAGAGAAAGAGGGGGAGAGAGAGAGAGAGAGAGAGAGAGAGGAGAGAGAGAGAGAGAGAGAGAGAGAGAGAGAGAGACCCTCTTAGAGCGATTCGATCGAGCAGTACGATCGAGATTAATTCCGTTAATTAATCGCCGAAGAAACGCGGCGAGATGAAAAGCGTCCATTATTCGCGACAAGATCGGTGGCCGGACGAGGGCACCGTACTGCGGAGCTCTTTGAGCCCCTTCCAGTCCATGGTCTCTCGCCGGAGCTTCATTCATCTCGGGAAATCCCCCTGAAGTGGCCTTCTTTAAATTGAAACTCAAATACACACCCTTAAAGAGTGAGCGAAAGAGCCCTTGAGGCGCCGTTGAGCCCATTCGAGACGGTTATTTTTCACGCCGGCTAGTCGAGAGGCTCGTCGCAGCGGCGTGGCGGGCATGCCACGCCACGATAAGGCCAAGATAACCGCCGCGGAGAAATCGATTTCGCTCGCAGTTAATCGCAGATAAATTCGCGGTTCGCAGTCATTCTCGTCGGGATTATCGTTTGCAGCGATGACGCGACTCGTCCGGATATGATTAGATGCGCTTACGACACGGTTATTAAACGCATCATTCGACCGAATGATACATTTTAATTACGGGCCGGGCCGCTGACCGCGACGCGAATGCAGCACACTCGCGCACCACATGCGTGGTGCCGGCGATTGCTATTTATACGGGATTTGCCATTTGCAATCTAACAATGCGCGTCTTCAAGTGAAAAATAACATGTTCACGGAATCGCGATGTTTAAGACTCTCGGTCATCCTCTTCGTGAGACAACTTTATTATCACAAGACCGGATCAACTCTGCGGCGAGTTTACTCGCTTCTTCCTCCTCCACACACACACACATCCCTACATGTGCGCATTGTTATTCCATAATAAATATCACGTCGCGCTACAAGCACGCTCCATTCGCTCGCGATCCTCTTTCGTCCTATTACTTTTGATGCCTGTTTATACGAACACGTTGGCTAAGGCCAACGCTCCATATCGCCGTAATTAGGATATATCTCCCGGAAGAAATCTTTTTCCGGTGTACCGTGAAAAATACAAGTTCACTGGCACCGCGCGCCCGTCCGTCCGTCCGTCCGTCCGGCTAGCCGGTCGGTCGGTCGGCAGGACAGCCTGTAAATCGCACACAAAGTTCCGTCGCTCGGTCTTAAGTGAGTTATACGCGGCATTCATGCTTTTTTCTTACTTGCCGCCAATTTATCGCGTCCCGCCTTTCGTATCGTTACGCCTTTACTTATCGCGCCGCGCTTGATCGTAATTCCGTGAGACGGATGCACGCACGCTCGAATCCCGCGACATTGCCGCCAGTGTGCGTACGCCCGTGTGCGCATAATTTGAAATTCAAATCCAGATCGATCGGCCGCAATCCGCGAGAGATGTCCTTCTGATTTTTACGACGGTCGTCGCACTCGTCCCGCGGTCGTTGCATCCGCGTTGCACTCGCTCCAAATTCGATTACGCGTTTAAGTCACGCTTCAAGATACATCTCCGCCTTTAACGTTCATTACGCCTTGATTGCACGGCAGACGCAATGAAGCGTGTGATCAACCGCGCGATGAGATTACTCGTCGGATTATGCGAATGCGCGACAGCGCTCACAGTAATATGTGCGCGCATTAATATGTTTCGCACAATAAACGTTCCATCTCAATAATGATGTAACGCGCGAATATAACATTCCGTGACGTCCGCGCAATCAACAATGCCCCTTCGATATGTTTTACTAATAACATGCATGGGCGCGCGCACGTCGCGGGATTATTTGTGAATTCCTTTTGTGGAAACGCTACCTTTTACGTAGTGCGAATACTTTATAAAAAAGAAGGAAAAACAAAAGGAAAAGCCAGGCTTATGAAATAGTGAAATTTACAAAGACCCCGTAACAGACGCGCCAGGAAAAAAGCCTGTAACTCTCTTATCCTTTCATATACAGCGCTAGCGATATCATCCATTCTTTTTTGTGCTAAACAATATAGGGAACCCCGGGGTAAGTTAGCCTTATTATTCGTTCATGTATTTATCGCAAGAGAGAAGCAACGGAAAGGTTATTGTAAAATATTCTTCCTTCGGAATAATAGATACTTTTCTTTTAGTTTCATTGTATGAAATAGACAGGTAGTTAAAAAAAGAGTCTGATTTAAATAAAACAACGGAATTGCTTCAGAATCTATTGATTGTTCGTTTTATTGACGTTGAGAACGTGGAGGTGTGCAGATCCCAAAGGAGTGGAGAGAAAGAAATCGTAAGAAGGAGACATTATTAGAAGCATAAATCAACACTTACTTGCAAGACTTACGGTAGATTCTAAATTTGGACTCGGGGCGTTTCCGATAAATACTATGTGTGACAATCTTGATAAGTTGGAAGGTCCGGAATAAAAATTCGAAAGCGTCCGATTGTTACGATCTCTCGTCCGCGGAATAAAGACGAGGCGCGAGCAGAGATAATCAAATGTTGATTATCTCTGCTCGCGCATAATCATCAAATGTTGAATAACCTTGAATATCTACTTTCTAAGAACACTTATGGCATGGTAAGCCTTGACACAGATACGCGGCAGTAAGTAAAATTTTATCGCACCAGTACCGCGATTCTGTAACTCGTTATTGGAGTTAACGACAGTTTCGTTATTGTTGCGCAGCTTTTCTACGGTATACAAAAGCTGCGCAACGATAACGAAAGTGTCGTTAACTTCAATAACGAATTACAGAATCGCGGTACTGAGCAGAACAATAGCCTGTACGATGTTATAACTTGAGATTACTCTCGATAGATCCGTCGAGTTCGGAATTTGCAGAATTAACGTAGAACGAGAGTTTCGACTCGGAATTGACGACGAGTCGTTGTCTGTCGGGATATTCGCAGCGATTTCATAGCCGTTCTCAAAAATGCCTATTCTTACGGTACAAGAATAATAAGTCGATAACAAGCCCGCGGCTTTATCATGATCGGCAAGTTGTATTTCTTTTCCTCGCAGATAGTCGTCGCGAATCGCGAGAGACCGAGGACCCACTGGAATTACGTTTCATTGTGCATCGAAACACAATAAGCACATGGTCAAGTGTTATTCCGTGCGTTATCAGTGCGATAGACGTGAGAACGTAGTATCCACGACAACGTGGATGCAGATTGACGGAGCATTAATTTCCTTACGCACACGGTGAATTATTTCGGACGTGTTCCCTGTCCATGAGGTCTCTCTCACAATAGAGCGTAGGCGGAATCTCTTTTGGGAGAATTATTATCGCGGCCGCGTGGAAGCGTGCAGTCGGTGGCGCGATGACAAAGAGAGCGCCGCGGCCCGTTTTTCCGCGCGACGTGACGACACGTCGCCTAAGCGTATAATCTCTCAAGTATTGTTCGCATCTTCCGTCGATTTATCCAACTGCTAAGGTGGAAAAGGTGCGCGCGGCGGGCGCGCCCCCAGCCAGCCACACGTCGTCCATCCCGTAGAACGCCGGGCGGGCAACGAAAACACATCTGCCAGTTTTTAGCGACGGCGCCATATATCATAAATGCGAGTGAAACGTTAAGGGCGAGAGAGGGTCACAACGCATACACACACGCACACATAAACACACCGTGCGGACCATCTATCTTATACGACTTAACTCGGGACGTCCGAAATATACAGGGTGTCTCGTAATACGCAGGGGACGCCAAAGTTCCTACAAACGCGCGCTCTCCTCCACCCTCCGGACGCCCGTCTTGTTTTTCTGTGATTTACGGAGAGCACGTTTTGCGTTTAGGATATTAGCGACACCGACTGTGTTGCAAACGCCAACGACTGCGATTGTCTGTGCAAAATCCTCCGGGCGACTACCGAGCGCGATCGAACACAGTCGGTATCATGCGCCACGCATATTAATTAACAGCGATTCCCGTGCTCGAGACGACCAGGTTCGTAACCGCGCAACGTTACGCCCGTGCCAATGTAGTCGCGTGATTGTTATTTCGAGATGGTGTGAGAACGCGAGACGGCAACCGAACGCTCTTCGAACGGCTGCCCTTCCTCCGCCTCCTCCAGTTCCATGTTCAACGGAAACGGGTAATCGTTCGGTACATCGCGGTGCGATTAGGAAACACAGGTATTTCTCGCGTGCTCGCGGGTCTACGTGGAAAACTCTCCTGTCCTCCCCGACAGTCGCGACCCGCGAAGTGTGTTCTGTGTAAATACGCGAAAGTAACGCGCGCGCGCACATGTGCGTCTTACGTGGAAAACGCGAGCGAATGTGCGGGTACCGCGTGTTCCAATATTAAAGCCATGTGCCATAACGCAATAATGCCTCGGCAACAGCGAAGCAAGGTGGGAGCAGTTTTTCTTGGTTACGCCGGTGAAGGTGTTCCATTCACCGCATACGAAGCATCGTGGCCACCCGCGAGCAGGCGAGCGAGCGCGTGAGTTTTGTCCCTCGACGACGAA